GGATGACGCTAGCGAGAGACAGGAACGGATGGAAACAGTGCTATGGCCTGCACGACAAGTGAAGACAGGCTATTTGAGTATCTAAGTAGGTAAGTCAAATTCGGTTTCAAGTTTTTTGAATCAATTCATACAGTCCAGGGAGACTAGCATCAAACCCGAGCTCATTCAAGTCAGTCTTAGAGGTCTTTAGTCTGCTGAAATACTGCTTAATTAGCCACTTCGCAGAGCTTTTACATAATTAGAGTCTAGGTTGTTATCTTTTTCTGCTACTGAATTTGAGAATCATTTTTGCTTCAAACATGAGGAGACGTCATCATAGGAAGTAGCTAGGTAATTTGCAGATGATGAAAAAGGCTGGCAGAGACAAACTCGGAACCATAAGTGGTAAAATGGCCCTAAGATCAACACCCAAGAGGTATTCCCTGCCCCCTTGGAGTTTATTCTAACAAATATGACCGCTTCCTTCCATAGCAAGAATGTTGTGTCCAGCGGAGATGTTCATCAGGGCGCAGTTTTGGGCGAAGATTTTCATTTGGGTTATAGCATTCGCTGCAAAACCTTTAGAATTCTCAGAAATCTAGTGATTTGGGGAAGAAAACTTATCGAATACTTTTCCAATAAGCCAACAGACAACTTGCGGATCAAGGCGGAGAGGTACACCCTTGCCTTTATCAAGTTGACCAATTCTATAGAACATTCTTGTAGCAAGTCTTACTAGAACCTGGTTAAGATGGCTGCTTGGTCACGGCTAGTACACTTTCAGTATCTGCCATGTAACCTAAAAGCCTTCCGCACCTTTCATTGTAAGTCGTCGAAATAAATTCGTAAGTTTGCATATCAAAATTCTATATTGATTGGATTTCTGGATTTCATATCTTGTAAAAACTAATGTTTTACGCATTTCCGAGATACATATTGGTGATTTAATTGTCAAATTACCATTGGGTTGAGTAATTTCTTCTCTCAAAAACTGTCCAATTCCGCGCTTTTTCTCATCCGTATGTCTCACAATTTGATCAACAAGCCAACCATAAGTGAATGTGTGGTACCCGCTGCCGGTCCCGGGAGGTATCTTGGACGTCTCGTTCTCGATTAGTTCCCTCATAAGGTTATGGTTTCGCACTGCCTTTTCCGTGACCGGTGTATCAAAGTAATAAAGTCCGGACTACAAATAATTATATAATTTTTTCAATTGATTAAAAGTTTATCTTACCTTATGAGACATCACCCATTCAATGGTAATGTTTTCTTTACCATTTTTCAAAACCTGGCCAATGTTTCGAGACAAGGTCGTCGTACCTTAGTCTTCCCCTATCTGCGAGAAGCGCAATGCATACGGCCGCAACAGCTTTGGTCGTAGAAAAGGCAACACTCATGGTATTCTGTAAATCTGCAGCTCATATGCTCTTGGTTTAAATAAGGTCCTTATCACTTGCCTTCTTCCATATTCTTGCAGCCTGTACATCAGCGTACCCGCCCCATAAATCAACTACTTTTCTTCCTTTCACGAAGACTACCACAGAAGCTCCTTCTGTTTCCCAACCATCAATGAAATTCTGCCTAAATCGAAGATCTGTACAGCTTACTCAATGTGAATTTACGCTTGATAACCTACTCAAATGCTTTTTGCACGCTTTCATACTTGCTATCTACTTCTCCACCAAAGT